AATCAGGGCATGGATATTGCTGGTCCGATTATAAAGCCTTACAGACTGAACAACACTTAAACCCAGTCCAAATTATTGCTGAAGTGTCCCAAGGTGGGGAATGATCAGCAGATAAATGCTCCTCCCCCACAATGAAAGCTGAAGAGCTTCCGGAAGTCTGCCCAGGCTGGGGAACACCCACTGAGGAACAGGTGAGGAAAGGGTGACGTCGGTAGTACTGAGCTGACGCAACATGGAGTGTGTGTGGCCAAACTGGCAGAAGGGGTCCCACCAAACGGGCTGAAGCCTGAGAAGTAGATTTTATTTTACTCGAACTAACCTGGGGACTTCAAGTTTTGAATTTTGCAGTTGTGTGTCAATGCCTGGAGATTGCCCTCAGAAGGACAGCTGTGCCCAGCACACTTTGATCATTGCTGTACACCAGTGACTGCTGTGTGAGAAGCATGCAAGGTGCTGACGTCTGGGTCCCACCCTCCAGGGAACCTGTTTTTACCATATGGAGTAAAGTGTGGGCATGGGATGCTTTACAGTACAAAGCGAAGTTTGAGAATCAGTGTTCCAGGGCCTTTAACTCAAGTGTGGCTTGCAGCCCCGCAGTCCTAGCATCAGCCTGGGAACTTGTTAGGAATGCAGAATCTCCAGCCCCACTGAGACCTACTGAATCAGGAACCTGCATTTCAACAAGATCCCCAGGTGATTCATGCATGTATTAAAGTTTGAGAAGCATATGTCCGGTCCTCTTACCAGCTCTGATTTTTATGTGAAAAAGAAATTCAACTTATTTTTGGTTAGGCTGCTCTCAGGTTGGTCTCTGTCCTGACTAGCAAACACACATTTAGGTGATCAGCTGATGCATGTGCTTTGGCTCCTGAGGGGTTCTGCATGGCAGGACCCAAGACTACGGAGCCATCGGAAACCTGTTCCAAGAAAACTGTTCCAGTGCCACCCAGTCTTCCAAAGCTTGACCAGGATGATGTGATGGGAATAGGCATCAAACTGGGTGGGCTCTTTGAGCTGTGACTCATCACAGCTGATCATGGCCTTGTGCTGGGCCTAGCTCAGGGACCCCTGGGACGACTGCCTGGGTAAAGGAAGAGATAGCTGTGTAGCCAAGGAGAAAAGCAGCGGATTGGGGCTGGAGGCCAGGAATTTAGCACAGGGTCTCCAGCTTCCTCCCTGATTCTGCTAACTCACTGATAGTATTATTGGACATGGGGAGAGCTGTGGCCTTTTAGTAGCCTGCCTGTCCCTTTGCAGACATTGTTGACACAACTTGGGATCTGCCTCTGGACTCCTACTCTTTTTTGTATGACCAGCTTGCGTCACCTTGATTTTACTTTGCTGGGGGTCAGAGCAGAGTGTCCCAAAAGGTGCTTGCCAAGGAGCAAGTTCCCTTTGCTGCAGGTGAGTGAGAACCTTGGTTGGTGACAATACTGTAGGTAAGTTAGTTCCATGTCCTCCAGGCAACCCTCAGCATAAGGTCTTGGCTCCAGCTGAGACCCCAGCTAAAATGACAAAAGACCAAAACAGAGAAATCATAACAGGGTCTGGCAGACCAGCAGACCCTTCAAGAGTTTCACAAGGACTTGGAAGCTTTGAGATTTTGAGGCCCTTTCCCCTTACACTTGACCTCCAGCCCTTAGATTTACGGGGTCTTGGTAAAACAGTTTAGTCAAGATCAACAGAGGCCCTGTCTTTACTGCTGCACCCCCAGAGCCCAGAACAGTTCTTAGCCCAACGTGTGGTCTAGAGTAGGTGCTCAATAAGTATTTGATGGAGATATCCTGTGTGCTTGCCAGGACTTATACCAGATACTGGGTAATGCTAATAATTCCTTTAACTGTGCTCTCTCTTGCCCAGCCTGTAATTCCCTCCAAAGAATTCTCAATCTCTTCCTCGGTTTCTATGTCAGCCCCAGAGGGTTTCTGGGAGCTCTTAGGAGTGTAGATCTCCTCCCTCCCCTCAACCCCCACCTCACGGGATTTGGCTGGGCTCTCTGCACCACTGGATCATCCTGCTGGGGTATTTCTGGCCAGAGGCCCCTCCTGGGCATCCCTGTGGAATTGTAGCCAGACCCTTGAAAACACTCAGTCCTAACCTATAAGGAGTAGAGCCCATCTCCCAAGCCCTACCTTGCACCCAGGACTGGGATCAGCAGGAAGCAAGAGAGACATTTACTTAGAGAGCAAAATTTAAGGGGGTGCAAAAAATTCAATAAGGTAACATTTTGTGCAGCTATTTTTAAAAAGTCAAAAACCAAACTGAACTGTGGTTTTCAAAATAACACAATGAACAAAATAATACAATTTGAAATAAAGACAGAATTGGTATCCCTAGTATTTCCTTTAGACTCAGACTCAATACAGCTTAATATAGATAGTGCGGCTACCAGCCTGCTCCATCTGAACGTCACCGTTGCTGATCTCGCGTGCATAGGTATTTGGGAGGGAACCATACTAATGAATCTTGCCTGGTCTATCTTTAGACTCAGACCGCGAGCTCACTGCAGACTGAGCACAACGTAGGAGTTCTTCCTTCTAACTTCTACCCACGCACTTTGGTGTTGCGGGGAGGGGTGTGGAGATAGGTCCCATCTACTCCTGCTCCCTATTTCTCCTGGCTGCCTGGAAGCGAGTCTGGGGATGAATGTCCTACAAACATCCGTGCAGGGCTTCCCTAGGAATACTAGGAGGCGCCTACCACCCTCGGCACCCATGCTGGGGACGCACGGGCTCCTCCAAGTCCAGCACAAAGCCAGGAGCCAGGAGAAGGTGGAGCGGAGCCAAGCGAGTCCGCGGAGGTGTCAGCAGCTTTTCAGAGTCTGCAGATGTCTCATTTGTCCTTTTGAAGACGGGAAGGACCGAGCTGGTGCAGCTTGACCTTCCCACCTTCCCTTCCACCGCAGAAGTTCGGGCTCTCCCTGAAGCCTACACTCCGCTCTCGGACTCAGAGCGCGCCCTAAGGTCCCTGGACCCACTGAGGAGCATGGGAGGCGGCAGGGGGCGGAGCAGTCCACTCCAGGCCTGGGAGACATCGGAGGGTGTAGCGGGCCTGGAAACAGAGTCCTCTGGCCAGCCCCAAATCGTAAACACAGAACTATAGCGACGAAAGGGGGTTATAAAGCAGACATCTCAAATGGTCCGTCTGAATCATCAGAACTGCGAGCAGCAGAGGGGTCCGGATCTTATCCCTTTTCCGACTCCCACTCCCATTGGGTGGAAGCAGGACCAGGGTAATCCAAAGCCTTCGCTACCACAGCAGGCTGGCAGAGATGCTCTGCACACACGTGCACGCACAGACGTTCGTCAAAGCTCTCACGAGACGCAAACACAGCTTTCCCCTCACCCCACACGCACGTCTTTATATAGGCATGCTCTCTCTCAGACCCGCACACACGCACATCAGTTGCAGCCCGTAGGGAGAAATGGACACCGTGCTTCGGCGTTCTCTGGGCTCCTCCCCGCACCGATTGTGTCTGGAGAAATCGTCCCCAACAGTCCTCTGCCTTCGTGGTTTCTCTAGGGGTGAGAGAGGAACCCCGGGAACTTCCCAGCCTCCCTGAGCTCCTGATCCCGTCTAGAAAGTCCAGCCACAACTCTCTCTAACCGCTCCGGGAGGGGCACTCCTGGAGGCAGTATGAGTGCTGCTCCTTTCGCGCGATAATATCTGCACGACCAAAGCCTGGGTAATTCAAGCAAACGCATGCTTGCACAGGCTGTGCAAAAAAAAAAAAGGAAAGGAAAGACCGACCGGAAAGGCTAAGGGCTGTTGGTTCTAAAACAGCCGGGTCTCTTTACTGTGGCTGTGTAAGCGTCAGCTTGGGCTATGGGGCGAGGTGGGGTGTTTTTTAGGGTGAGAGATGCCCCCGAGCCCAGGCAGTCATGATATGAATTCCTGCATGTCCTTGTTTACCGCCTGCCTCTCTGCTAGGCTGGAAGCTTCACAGGGCAGGACTGAGTTTGTTCCTCCTGGAACCTCGCAAGATCCCGGCTATGACGGGCTGACATATGCATTGAACAAACGTATAGCACTATATATATATATTTAATTGGAGCTTGAGAGCATCTACCAAATTCTGGGACGGATCCAACCCTGGGGAGAGATTCCAAACAAGCCTTTTCCTGGCGGTCGAAGAGCCTGTACAGCCGCCCCTTGGTTCGGACCAGCCATCCGTCTCCCTCCTCCGGGCTCTCCCAGGACCCGTTAAAGACCGCTGCTTCGTCACGCCCACCGGCTTCACCCGGCCGGCCAGAGCCGGCTTCCCCGCCGCCCAAGGAGCGCTGGGATCCCCGCGGATGCAAAACGCAGAACGGACACGAGGCCGCGGGCACCGTTGCTTCTTCTTTATTTGCGGATATAATTATGCACCGCACTCTAAATTAGATAGATTTTTTTCTGATATACATTTCATCTTATTCACCACGAGCACACCACACGCACAGAACAGTTCCACAACCTGAAAAATTGCACAAGATGAGTTTGGATTCTTGAAAACCCGCAGGCAAGCCGGCCCCGCCTTCGGCTTCTTGCCTCCCGCTTTGCCGAGGGAAATCACCCACCCGAAACGGATTTCCCGCCAGCCTTTCCCGCTGCAGGGTTGAAAGGTCTACGGAATGGGAAGTGCTCTTGCAGGGAATGGCTGGGCTGCAGATTCCGAGCACTGGATGGCTGTGAAATGTCCCCAAAAGGTCAAGTTTCTGCGCCTGCGAGCTGCGCCCCCTCTCCCTCCCTTCCCACCCCTCTTGGTGACTGGGCCGAGGTGTCGGGGCCCCTCCTGGAAGGTCAGATAACTGCCCACAAATGCGCCCTCGCCTCCACTGAAACCGAGGTGTTGTGGAAAAGACAGGACAAGAGAAACGCAGACGTTATGGATTGTGGATCCCTGTCCCCTCCCACCCCACTCCCATCCCCAATAATAAGAAACTAGGAACCAGAGATGTTTAAAGCTTGGGTTCCCAAGCGCGGCGGCTGGGCGCACTGGGTTGGTGGGGGTGGGGTGGTGGGGAGGGGAAAGAGCGCGGGGGATCGCCCTGGCTCCCTAGTCCTCCGCGTTGGTTCGGTAGGCCTCGATGAGGCCCTCCAGCGAGTGCACGAAGCCGGACACGCTGCAGATGCCGCCGATGACGAAGATGGCGACGTCGAAGAAGACTTGGTGCCACAGCAGCTTGCGCCAGAGCAGACGCAGGTGGAAGAGGCTGGGCAGCAGGAAGCAGAGGCCGGCGCCGGTGAGGCTGCCCGTGAGGCCCATGAGCAGCGCGAAGTGCGGGACATAGATGGCCATGAGCAGCGTGAAGACGACCAGCGCGCAGCGCAGCGTCAGCCCCCAGGACTTGAGACGGCCGTCGCCGCCGTAGCATGCGGGGAAGAAGGCGCGGCTGCCTTCCTGGAAGAGCGACTTCTCCAGCACCTCGACGGCTGCGAAGAAGGGCAGCGGGTAGGACAACAGCGCCTTGGCCACCAGGAAGATGTTGACCACAGCGCGGATGGAGCCGGGCAGGTTATCCGTGATGACCTCCTTGGTCTCGTCGGCCCAGGTGAGATAGGCGACGAGCGCGAAGAGGCCTTTGAGCACGCAGGCGGCGATGTGCGTCCAGTTCATCATGCAGTGGAACTCGCTGGGCTGTTGCATGTTGCCCTCCAGCGAAGGCAGGAAGATCTGCGACGTGTAGCTGAACACGATGATGCCGATGGAGATGGGAAACTTCTTGACGTCGATATAGAACTTGACCTTCTCCCAGGCCCAGTCGCGCGCCCTCGATAGGCAGTAGGCAATGACCAGGATGTTGATGACGAAGTGGGCCAAAGTGCACAGCAGGCTGAACTTGGACACGGCCTTGAGGTTCTTAAGGAAGGCGCAGGGCAGCAGCACCGCCGTGGCGATGATGGACCAGGACTTCTGCGACACGGGCAGCCCGGGGAAGCTGTTGTACATGAGGTTGCCGCTCACCACCACGTACAGGATACAAGTCATCACTAGCTCGATGATCTGCGCCACGTTCACCACGCGGCCACCCAGCGTGGGGAAGCGCGGAGCGCAGCACGCATTGGCGATGGCCACATAAGAGTCCCGCACTCGAACTATCTCGCCGTCCTCGTTCTCCTCGTACAGGCATGCGATGAGGATCTTGCCGGTGTAGCAGCACACCACGGCGGCGAAGATGATGAGGAACAACCCCAGGTAGCCGCCGTGCAGGATGGCGTAGGGCAAGCCCAGCACGAACATGCCCTGTGGAGCGAAGAGGCAACCAGACCCGGCGCTGAGCCGGCGGGGCCTTAGGAAGAGAGGGCCTGGGGGGCGTGGCTTAAAGCCGAGGGCGTGACTTAAGGCTGCAGCCCATAGGGGGCGCTAACGAGAGTGAGTTGCTTCAAGCGCTCGCAACAGAGGTTAAAGGTAGGCTGAAATGGGAGTGCGGGTGTTGAGTCAGAGGTGGGGAGGGGGTGTGTAAAAACGGAATAGAGAAGGAAAGGTGTGCTAAAGGGTGGGAAGAGCGGTGTAGACTGCGTGTGAGGTCAAACCACCAGGAGAGGACGGCAATGTGGAGATCAGCGAGGGTGCTTCCTGGGGACAGAATCAGAAGTGGGGACGTGGCAAGAGGTGAGAGGGTGCTGGGGGGGGCGTGGCCAGAAAGGGCTCTGAGAAAGGTGAAGGCTGCGTCTGAGCCACCTAGGAAGACGGGGCTCGGGATTTAAGGTGAGACTGCAAGGGGGTGCTGCAAATCTAATGAGGGAAATGCGGGGGCCTGAGGGCCGAGCCGGAGAAGAAAACGGTAAAGGCGGCAGTGGGAGGAAGGAGAGGGGGGAGAGGAGGTGGGTCGGAGTGAGAGCCAAGCCACGGGGAGGCAGGAACGTAGGGAACGTGAGGATTTTTGCTAGGGCTCTGGGATGTGAGGCTGGAGGCGCGGCGTGGGGCGGGGGCGGGGTTGGAGAGGCCGATCCCTGAGAAGGTGGGAACGGGAGGGGCACGCAGGGTGAGCGCGGTGTGAAAGGCGAAATCCAGTGGGAATCTATAACTAGACGCAGTGGGATCAGACGGGCAGAGCTGTGGAAGGAGGGTTTAGAATCCATACGGGGAAGGAAAGCTAACGAAATCCAGGGTTCCCGAGGCCTGCGGGCCTCCAGCCTCCCTCCCTGGTTTCCTCTCAGGCCTATGGGACGGGGCCCGCAAAGATGACCCCGGCGAAGGTGCAGAGGCAACCGCTGCGGGCGCCACCAACCCCACGTCCTTGGTACCGCCTGGCGGTGTCCCCGGGTCCTGGAGAAGGAAGGGCCTCGGAAACCAGTCACTTAGTGCGCAGGGCCCCACGAAGCCCCAGAGAGCACGTGTCCCCAAGCAACCCCGCCGCGGCCTCGCGCTCCCGGTAAACCCACGTTCTGCACCTCAACGACCGTGCTCTTCGGGGACACAGTAGGGGGAGGCAAGCCACAGGGCCTGCGGGCGCCTGGGGCTGGGGCCGCTTCCACCCGGAGAGCTGCGGCCTGACGGCTCCCATCAGCTCCCCGGATGGAGGTGCGGACTTAAAACCTTCTCCAGGCGGTGGAGCCCGGCGCCGCCTGGTGGGGAGTGGGGGGAGGGGTGTTGAGAGTGGGGGTAAAAGGGCGGCGTGTGGTTCAGAACCCTTAGGGTGGCTTCGCCAAGGTCAGATGCGGAGGAGCTGGTCTCCTCTTTGCGGTGTAGCCGGGATTTCGGGCGAGAAGGGTGAATCTGTGCACAGGTAAACCTGAGGTTTCCACGGACCACATGTGCCTGAGTGACCGCACTTGTGTGCGCACGCCTGTGTACATCTGGGCGCGCGTTACGTTCAAATGGGTTTGTGTGCGTGTGCCTGTATGTACGGCTATGTGCTTCTGCGTGTGGAAGGTGCAGGGACAAGGAAGGTGAGTAGGAGGATAATCCTGTGGCCTCTATATAGATGCGTGTTGCGTGCACAGGTACCCGGCGTTTGTTCCTGGGGGAGGAGGGCTGTGGGCGCGTGTGCCTCCCTAAATACGTGCTTGCGTGTATATGCAGGTGTGTCAGGAAGGAGATTCCCAGCTCGGCGAATTTTCCCTCTCCTTTCCTCCCGAAAATGAAGCTGTGAATCCATTCCGGAGTTCCAGACAAAACCCTTTCCTCCAATCCTGATTTTCTTTCTCCCCCACCCCTCCCAGATCCCCTGCTTCTGTATCCCTCCCTTTTACTGGGTCTCAGGGCAGGTGTGTCTGACCGAGCCTCAGCCTACCTGGGTCCGCGGGGTTTTGTGCGGTTCAGGACCGGAGACACCACCTGGGGGCGTAGATTCCTTCCGCACAGGGCTGGGAGGGATGGGGAAAGGGGGAGATCCCGGGTACAGGTCGCCTGGGGACCCGGTGGGGGACGGGAGGTAGGGCCTGGTACACGGAACCTGAATGGGGTTCGGGGGATGGCAGAGCTGGGAATCCCTGGCTCACCTGGATAGCGTTGGTCACGTTCCAGCCTGCCTCCCACGCCGTGATCTTGGGCTTGTCCTGGCCCCCGAACTCGCCACCAGCCCCCACGGCCTCGTCCTTAGAGCCCGAGGGCGGCAGAGGCGCGCCGCCACCACGCTGGTAATGGATGTCTCCCTCGACGGGCGGCTCGGCGCCCTCGTCCCCGCAGGGCTCGCCCTCGCTTTTCAAGATGTCCATCTGCAGACCCTGGCGGTGCTCAAAGTCCAGGTCGTCACAGTGCGCGAATCCCACCGCCTCCTCGTCCGTGGCTGCCTGGAAACCCATCCTGGCGAACATGCCGCTCACCTTGGCCTGGGACTTGTTGGACACGGACGTGGCCACGTTAGACAGCTTGCTGCGGAGCAGGGTCGCCATGGCGGCGGCGGGGTCCGAGGAAAGGACAGAAGCGGCTGAGGACGCGGGGGACGCGTGGCAGAGTGGCGGGGGCCGGGGGCGCTAGAAGCCGCTATCTTCGCTTGCTTTTCCCGCGGTGCCCCGGGGCGCTCTGGCTCATGACCCCCCTCAGCTGGCGTTGGAGGCCCGCTCCGGGCTGACCCTGTGCTGGCCGGCCGCGGGTCTGGTGGAGCGGCGGCGAGCGCACTGCGGAGCTGCCGCGGGGCTCCTCCGGCTGCGGCGGCGGCGGGCGGCGGCGTCAGAGCAGCTACGCGAAGCTGGCGCGGCGCCCCCACCCGTGCGCAACCCAATGCGCTCCCGCCCCTTGGAATCAGGAGGCTGGCGGGGGCGACGGCGATGAGGAGGGGGAGCCACTCGGAGACAGGGGGTGTGAGGAAGGGGCAAGGGGAAGAAAAAGGGGGATTAAGGAACTCGTGAGACCTGACGTGGGGGCAGAAGGGCAGGACAAGACAGCAGGAGGGAGCGCGCGAAGGAGGGGTGGGGGCCGGAGTGCTGCATTTCTGGGGGAGGTGCTAAACTCGGGTCCTGGCCCTTCCCACTTCGCCCCCGCAGGGAGGGAGGCTGCCGGGGCCGGCTGATTCCCGCGGTCCCGCGGTCCAGACAGCCCCTTCCGGAGTCCGGGAGCCTTTCGGCCCCAGATTCCACGGCCAAGGGCCGGTCTAGACCCTGAAAGGCAGCAGGACAGTTACCCGTCGCCGACTGCGCGGGCCGTCTGGGGGTCGATCAGCCTCCCTGGCACCCATCACTGGCACTTAAAACCGGCCACGAGCCCCACTTAAACAGAAGTGTCCGTCACGGGCCGCTCTCGAGAACGCTTAGCCCGGCCTCCGTCACTGGGACCGTCTCCGTCCGTCCAGGATGCAGCGACGGAAGCAAATCTTCGGGCTGCTCGTCACCAGCCGCTCTCCAAATGTGTGCAGCATGGAGACGAAAGGTTGGCTTTTTGCTTTCTTTGCTTTCGTGGGGTCCGGAAGGAGGCAGGACTTAATGAGGGCACCTCTCGCCAGCCTCGGTGTCCGCCGAGGAGGAAAGACGCGCTTGCAGCGGGCTCGGGGCATTCAGCTGTGCTCGCACGGCGGCTGCCGGGCCATGGAAACCTAGACTGTTTCTGGTGAGTGGGGTGCGTGGGTGGGTTACGCGTGCAAGAGTAAGAGACAAAGACCGATACCGTATCAGATATTGATACGGGCTGGATCTGAGTGGATTCCGAGGCTGAGATTTGGAAACTGTTTATTCTCTAAGTGTGTAATTTGCTCGCGTTTGAACCTGTGCGTGTGCGGCGCTTGTGTGCTGGATTTCGTGTGCATGTTTCCGAATGGATCCCGTGCGTTTTTGCCCGTGTGAGTCCTTTCGCGGTTGCGGCTTTCTGCAGTCCGCTGCTCCGGAAGGGTCGCGGCACGCGCTCCCAGCTGGGCTCCGGCCCAGACCCTTCTAAGCAGTGAACGGTGCCTTCTTCCACCCTGCGCTCCTAGCCCGGGTGCAGGAGGTCTAGCGGCTGTGGCAGGGGGCAGCGTCGGGTGGGGACGATCTGCAGGAAGGAAAAGAACCCCTCAGTTTCTCTCTTCCTGAGGCCCTGACTCGCAGAGAACCCCAGTGTCCCCCTCCCTTGCAGTATTTCTAGATTAGCTCACAGTCAGCGCACAAGTAGGGCGGCCTGAGGGCTCTGGCCAGCGCACTGGAGCTGCCAGGACCAGACAGGCTCTGGCCCAGAGTCCCCTCCTCCCCCCACCCCTCCAGCTGCCTCACAGTCCGGCGGAGTCTCCTCTCCGGTTAGAAAACCGTCACCGCACTGAACAGAGATGGTCCTAATCCCTCCCAACATTCCCCCAAGAGCCTGCCTGGCAGAGACCAAGACAAAACCCCTCCTCACTCTAACCCGAGGACCCCCAACTAGGACAAGGAAAGCTCTCCAGAGAGGCCGTCCAGAACACAGACCTTTGGAGTCTTGACAGGACTCAGTACAAAGACAGGACAGAGGCCCTCCCTGCCCCCCCCCCCAGATCCTCTCCTCCAAAGAGGTTTTGAAATGGGGCTGATCCTTCATCCTAGAGATTTGTCCTTGTACCCAAAACCCCACCCCCAGCCCCAATGCCCAGATTCTGGGGGCAAAAAGAGCCTGTTCCCCAGATTCCTATAGACTAAGGTTCCTCCTAATCCTCATTCCCACCACTTCTGTCCCTGGTGAAGTTCTTTAGGACCCCACCAGGTGATCTGGACAGAGGCCAGGGTTCCCTGGTCCCCCCCACACCCCCTCAGACCTGAAGATGGCCTTCTGGGACAAGTGAACCAATGACACCCTTGTATCAGTTGGTCGTTGCCAATTTATGGATTTTGTGATTGTCCGAAGTGTTTACCCCTCCTATCCTTTTTCCCTTGTGCTGGTCACTGCTGTGGCACCCCTTGTGGACAGTGAAGTTATTTCAGTAGTGAGAAATTCATTATTCATTCATTTATTCAGCACACCTTCTCACAGCCCCACTATGCTTGTGGTTCTCTTCTGGCTGTTGTGGGAATCACCAAGACAACCCAAGCATGGTCCTGTGTGTGCTCTCCAGCCCAATTCGTGGGTCCAGGGGGCACCCGTGAGAGCATTCTGTCCATCTTGTCTGCGATGATGATACCACCCCAGAAACCTCCTAGCAGAACCCTGTCTTCATCCTCAGTGTGCAGATGAACGCACCCAGCCAGGCAGGGAGGTGTCCTGCTCAGGGGCACCGAGCATCCAGGGTAGAGCCAGGCCAGGACCCAGGCATCCCAACGCCTTGCCTGTGCCTTCCCTTCCACAGCCTCATCCTGTCCTTCCATCTCCCCTCCCTGCTTGCTTGGTGTCTGGCCACTTCTCTGTCAAAAAAAAAGATGCAACTCGAAATCAGATTCCAGTTCTTCTGGTTGTAAGTACACACCAGCTGCTGGACAAAGGGACGCCTCGTTTCCCTTCTTTCCTGGGCAGTAGGTTCCCGAGCAGCCGGGCCCTTGTCGGAATGTCCTGCTCCACCAAGGACTGAGTGTGTGACATCGAAATACTTACCTAGCTTCCATTTTCTCATCAATTAAATGTGAAAATAATAACAACCTCATGTTGAGAGAATTCTATGAAATATTGCATATAAAATGCTTGGCACAGACTCAGTGCCCAGCATGTGGTAGCAATTATTTTTTTTATCGTTGGTGTTGTTATTGTTATACCCAGTGGCCACTTCTTGTTGTCTGAGGAAAATCAGTGTGCAAAGAAAAGCCTGTGATTAGTCAGAGTGGGTTGGAATGCACACCGTTCTGTCCCGGCCCCACCTCTCCATCCTCACCCCTCCAGTCCTGCATTGACTGGAAGGGAAAGAAATGGAAGTCAGGAGTAGGGCAGAGGGCAGGGGACCTGGTGGTTTGCCCCAGGAGACAAATAGGATGACCTACCTAGCTGGTAATGAGTTGGGCTCTGCTCTGGTGAAGCCATCAGCTTCCAAATTGTCCTAATAGCTCTAGGGGCACCCTCATGAGAAGAATTTGCAGCAGCTTTACCCCCTGAGTTGAAACACAACACACACATACACTCACACACAGCGAATGACAGGCCAACTGACAGGTGCACAAAGGAATGAGGCCAACACACAGCTTCAAGCACAAAGTCAGGTCTACGTAGACTGACGGAGCAACACACATGGGTCAAGGACGGGCCAGCACGCACACGGACACCTGCGAGATTTGTACTGAGACTGCCCGCCACACAAAGACTCCAGGAGAGGCACCCATAGGTCCTTCCCCACAGGCAGGGTCATGGGTAACAGGCTGAGGCACACGGCAGAGCAAGGACAGGTATAGACATGGAGAGTCACATACAATGACAGACACCCAGACACAGGAGCACGCCCACGCACACTTCACACTGAGACTGACAGGCACCCGAGGTGCAGGAAAACTCTGACATGATTACTAAGAGGGAAAAGGTAGAGAACAAAGGGAGGGAAGGGGCAGAGGAGACATAAAAGGAACATGCTGCCCTGGCTGGTGTGGCTCGGCGGCCTGGGTGTCTCGGACCTGCAAACCCAAAGGTTGAAAAGATCGCTGGGTTCGACATGTACGGGCCAGGTACCCAGCTGGGGGCATCAGAGAGGTAACCAACCAGTGGATGTTTCTGTAGCACATCAATGCGCTGTTCCTCTCCCTCTCTTTCTCCCTCTCTTCCTGTGCTTCTAAAAATAAATAAATAAAATCTTTAAAAAAAGAAACACACTAGAAGAGGGCAGCAGGGAGACAGAGCAGGACATGCCAGGCAGAGGTGCCAGCCACCAGGGTGCAAAAGAGACAGGGGTGCCACCGCCTTCCTCCTGGACAATGACAGAACCCAGATGTGTGACAAAGAAAATGGAGGCTGGGTGGATGTGTGGCGAGGGAGCCAGAGCTGTCCCTGCCGCTGACCTTGGAGTAGGGGCAGGGACACTCCTCAAAGGGCCACACAAGGTCCCGCTGTTTTGGGGTGGGGGTAGGGGCTGGGCTGCTTGAGAGGGGGTGGATGAGGGGCTGCTGGGACTCCTGCCAACCCTCATGATGCAAAGACCTTTATTCTGGACCAGTCCGGCAGCCTAGGCCTGGGAGAAATGCACACCTCTCTCCCCACAAGAGAGCAATCTCTCTATTTTGATGCTCTCAGTACCCAAGGAGTTAAACGCCTGGCTAATGGAGACGGAGGCCACTTTTGGGGGGAATAAATAGGGTTAAATGGAACTGGGCTTATCTCCCGGAGCAGGAGCAGGCAACAACAGGGGGGTGGGGCACAGAGCCCTCGAATTAATGGCCCAGAAAGCGAACATCATGAGCATCATTTTGGGGCTGAATGATCACAGACAGACCCCCTCCTCTCCCCTTTCCAAAGCAAGTTCTGCCATGAGCCTTTTCCTGCCGAGGGACAGGCACTGGCTCTATCAGTCACCCCCACCACTACCCCCTTTAAGCGGGGGCATTGGCAAGGTTTCCTGGCAGCTGGAAAAAGTCATGCCCACCTTGCCCCAAACCAAAACCCAGTATCCTGATCCTGGGTGCACAGGCACAAGGGAGAGATGGGCAGCAAGGCTGGGGGCTCCAAGTGAGCAGCCCGGGCCCGAAACAAAAACCCTGATTCTTCTGCCTTTGGTGGGACAATTCAGATGGGACCATGGAGGGCACAGTGTTGCCTCTGCGGGCTCGGGGCAAAACCTAGTGAAATACAGTAATGACTTTGTAAATATTA